ACTTGCAGTAAATGGGATCCTAATTTTTGCCAAGGGTAGCTTGCTAATTTTTCCAACAAAAGCTTACATTCCTGTTATTATTGAGAAGAGTTCACCTGGCTGTCGTCCAGTCAGCTTCCACATTATCAACAGAGACTTTGTGTAAACCTCATTCTTTGAAACACAGGTGACCTAAAATTACTTTATATATAACAAAGCAGCTTCTAGACTCCACCACCCACTTTCACACTGTGATATACTCAAGACACTCTGGAGAGCCTCAGGCTACACATCTGATGGCCATGAAAGAATTTGTCTCTTTAGTTCTGCATGCCAAATTCCTGCTCATAACTGTCAAAATAGACGTAGGTTTATAAAATTCACAGCAACCTGGCCACCCAGACTATGCTATGGAAAACAAGATACTAGTATATTGTGTGCATTTCCACATTGCTGTTTTTCAGTGATATTAATACAACAGGCTTTTTTTGACATGCTTTGGATTATAGTTTAAGGTAATTTATGATACAACCTAGCAGTTTGAAAGCATGCAAATGTGAGTAGATAAATAAGTACCACCTTGGTGGGAAGGTAACGGCGTTCCATGTCTAGTCATGCTGGCCACGTGACCACGGAAGACAAACGCTGGCTCTATGGCTTGGAAACGGGGATGAGCACCGTGCCCTAGAGTCGGACATGACTGGACAAATTGTCAAGGGGTACCTTTACCTGGGAAAGCAGCCCAACTAGGCAAAGGAAAACTCTGATTTCAAACCTCCACTGCCTTGTGGCTATATCCATTGATGGAAAAGGCTTCAGGAGTAAACCTCGAGGCAAAATCCGGAGCCAGAGTCCTGGAGGCATTTCTTGTCGTTCTGGCAACTCCTGCGACGTCGCTGGAACCAGTTAGATTGGCTTTTGCCTTTCCCTGGACTATTTCAGTGATGTGGAGAGGGGGGATTTGCTGCTTGGGTAACAGCCTATCCTCCATATTATTTTACCCAGGCTTCGTGCTCTGGAGAGGACACTCCAGCTTCACATACAGCATCAAAGTCCTCCACACTGAGCACGTTACCATAGTCTCTCAAGACTGAAGGATGCCTATGACCTTTACCTTTACCTATGATATAGAAGAATGTTATTGTCACGTTCCCACCTGTCTCTTGGATGTTTTACCAATCAAAGGGCACAAGCTACGTGTTATGTCGCTGCCACCAGTTGATTACATCAACATTATGTATTGTTAATAATAGAGGTCCAGGCAATGTATCATTTTAAAAAGAACCAAATAGTAGTAGTTTATTATTTTACAGGTGATGAAGGCACATTCAATGTCTTTAACTCTTAACAAAACATCCTATTTCATCCACTCTCAACTGCCAACTCTCTCTCTCCACTCCAAACTCCAAAACCACCAATCCTCCGATCTAAAACTCAATCTCCATCTCTCAATCTCTCAATCTCCCCCTCCTTCTCCGGCAGAGACTCTTATATCTCATGACCACACCTCTCCAGCACTTTAATTGGTCCATGCAGATAGTGCATTAATAGTCATGACTTGGGCAGACACCACATAGAAGAATGTTGGCAAGTAGCTTACAATTATAACATTTCCTAAGACTAGGAGAAGATCTGCCATATTATTGTATCTTCCAGCTGAATGTATTTGTTTTGCCACCAGTTTCAGAAGCTGTGTTTGTCTGTTTCAGCAGCAAGAGTACTGTCACTCTTTCAAGACTAGCATTCATTTCATTGTGAACTTTTTTTGGATTACAATCCACTTTTTAAGACACATCGATGTGTGTATTGGCACCAGTTGACAGTGTATTTGGTGTGAGCAACAACCAAGAGAGGTGTAGGTGTAGGACTGTGAAATCCCAAGTACTCATGCACACAATAACTGAGATACTCTCCTACACATTTAGTGTTGTTCTGAATAAGAGTATACTAACAGGGCCTCAGGCAGCTTACCAGAACTTTGTTCAGTTCTGGACTGTTGGCTTTGTTGGTTGTCATCAATGCTTTGCTGGAAGTGGCATTGGAGTGCCAGGAACAGACATAGGGACATTATGGAGGATATTAAGAAGGCTTCTGTTGGTATCTGGTAGAATCTGACAAAAAAGCATAAAAATTCAATCCATTATTGAATTGTCACATTTTTAATATGGCCTTCTGTCCCATCCATTATTTGTCAAAGTTGTGTGCGCTCCCTTAGATACCTCTGTGTGCATGTACGTACATATATGGGCATGAATACATGTGCTTATTGCTGCATACTCAACACATTCCTTTTCACAAATTAGAGCATCTAAGGAAAGTGAAAGATTTGTATATATGGCAGGTGGTTGACCACTTCTCCCATGGTGTTGTAAAGTTTCTCTTTAAAGAAGTCAGAAAAGTCCATGGAGGAAGGGGAATTGGGATGAAAACCTTAATGAAATGCAAAGCAAGTGCAGTATACAGTGGTGCCTTGCTTAACGAGCGCCTCGCTGAGCGATGAAATCGCTTAATGAGGGGCTCTGGGCCATCGCTGGAGCATTCGCTCAGCGATGGCCCCTATGGCGTTTTTTTGCATAACGAAGCGGAGGAGAACAGCTGATCGGCGGTTCCAAAATGGCCGCCGGAAGGTCCGCGCCGCGGTTTCGTCCCCTGCCCTCGCTTACCGAGGGCACGAAAATGGTGGTGCTATGGAGGAACATCGCTTAACGGTGAGTTTTAAAGCCATAGGAACGCATTTAAATTCCGTTTAGCGATGTTTCGCTATAGCGAAGGTTAATCCGGAGTACGTGCTTGCATGTTTGACGTATCCTATCAGGTAGTGGTTGGCTCAAATGGAGATTTCCTGAGTAACTACAGTGGTGCCTCGTATAACGAGCGCACCGTTTAACGATGAATCCGCATTGCGATGCGGATTTCCCCATCGCTAATGCGAGGGCATGCTTGCATTGCGATGGGGAACAGCTGTTCGCCGGTTCTAAAATGGCTGCCGGACACCCAAAATGGCCACCGGAACACCAAAAATGGCCGCTGGTACACTCAAAATGGCCGCCGGGGACACCCAAAATGGCCACCGGAACACCAAAAATGGCCGCTGGAACACCAAAAATGGCCGCCGGGACACCCAAAATGGCCTCTGGAATATGGGGAAACATCGGAGAATGGTGAGTTTTGGGCCCATTTGGAACGCATTAAATTTGGGTTTCCCCGTTCTGCTTAACGATGTTTCCCCATAGCGAAGGTTAATCCGGAATGGATTAACCTCGCTATGCCGGGCACCACTGTATATGTGTTATAATAATGCCAGTGCCAGTCCCTGTATGAATAAAATAATCATATTTGCAAGGAACACATGCAACACTATGCTTAAAGCATAGAATGAAATAAGAGACATCATTTTTAAAGCAGAAAAGTATACAATTCTCTTTCAGTTTCTTAAATTCAGATTTCAAAGCAATGGGTTGAGAAACAGCATCTTATGTATATTTCTGGAGAGAAGGATATTGTTTAGTACTTACATAAGCTGTATATATTTTTTAATAACAACCTGAAAATTTAAGAAATCTTTTACACTAGCTAGGTTTAATGTACATCCATCCAGACTGCTGGAAAGCAGGTATCAAGGTTTGCCAGTTGTTAGTCATGTGTGTCCTTGCAATGAGGTGGAGATTGAAAGTGTTAGTCATGTCCTCTTAAAGTGCTCTTTCTATTGCGATACTCGGAGGGATCTCCTCCAGTTGATACTACAACAATTTCAAGGGAGGTCCAGAGAATTTTATGCCATTCTCTTACTTTCAGACAAGAAGTCTGATATAACCATTGCAGGTGGCAAAGTTCTGTGCAGCAGCAATGAAATGTCGCTGTTCCCTCCTTGCACCAATTAAGGCATAGCTAGATGTTTAGTATTCCTTTAGTAATAATATGTACTGGCCACCCTATATTCTATATGCTACACTACCTAAGACGATAAGTCTGGAGGTGGTACAGAGTTTTCTGAATTTATTTACTGAACTCCTCAGTCCTGAGAAACTAAGGAGGCTCCATCTAATTTAGTTATATTGTAACAGATATACCAGCGGGTATATCCAATGTAACTATAACACCTAGTGCATTGTGTTATAGTACTATGTGTTATAGTTACATTGATACATGTGATATTATTCTTGCTACCTTATGCTACTTTTCATTGTACTATGTGTTATAGTTACATTGTCTATACCCGCTAGTCAGTTACCTTAATAGAGCTTGCTTATTGATTGATTGATTGATTGATTGATTGATTGATTGATTGATTGATTGATTGATTGATTGATTGATTGATTGTCATTGTAAGTATATACACAGTATACCCATACAATGAAATTCACAGATACCCAGAGACCAGACACATGCACACACATAAAAGTCCCCAAACACTCCTCACCCACTAAAAAAATCTCCCAACTTTTAAAGAATTGTATCATTATAAAGAATTCTTCCTTATTTATCTTACCTTAGTTGATAAATAGCTTATGTGATTTCCTGATAGAATATACAATAAGGTATATTGTATCTGTTTTTAATTATGTCATTATGTTTCTTAGACATAATTGTAAATAGATAACTGTCTAGCACTTACATCATCCTTACTGAGCTGTAGTTTAAATATTGTCACAGTCACGTGAGAGTCCCTTGCCTGTGAGTAGCTCCTGCATAACTTCATCAAATGGCACAGACATGTTTGGTGGTTAATTTGGATTTTCTTATGCAGTGCCTGGATCATTTGTATTGCAGTGCTACAGATATCCTTCCATTAGTCCTATCTAATATGTCCAAGGTAAGCATGCACAAGACTGTACCTCTGTACTACTTCTAGGATGTACAGTTTTTTCTGTACTTTAGAGAATGTCTGAATTACAGGGACCCTGCATTTTCTGTGGTTTTGTGCATCAGTGTTTAGAACGTAATAAACTGATCATAAAGGCAATTATTGCTTTATTGTTCTTCTCTTTACTTAATTTCATTTGTTACTTTGTGTTTTATAGAGATTAATTTATTGTGGGCAGCACACCAGGCTCATCACAGTTCTGAGGATTATAATTTATTCACAGCATTACGGCAATCTCTATTTCAGAAGTACACATCTTGGGTAAGTTACATAGTATATACACTTCTCCCTTGACTTGCATAAATCTTATTAGCACGGTTTTGGTTATACATATATATTTTTTCCAATCAATCGATCAATCAGTCAATCAATCAATCAATCAATCTTCAAAGAATACTGTGCTGCTATTATCTCAAGGAAGTGGCCTGAGAAAGGTGGGTTTCAGACATGCCTTGGCCCTTCTTGTTGCTGTTCCAGGTGACCACCTCTCCTGGCATGGCAGCTGGAGAGGTGCAGGAGCTTGCTGTACAGTTAATACAATAAATTCATCTGTTATGTGTATGTGTGTGTGTGTGTGTGTTAATCAACTGTTTATGCTTTGTAGTTATGTTTTTGGAAGAATAAGAGTTATACATGGATTTTGAACTACATGGGGGTCCAATGCCCATCCAGTGTTGTTGAAGGGCCAAATGTATGCTTTTATGGCATAAAATGATGTATCACAAGCAGTTAGGGGCTGTAATGTAAGGTCTGGCCAAATAATACCAATCACATTCCATGAAAACCTATCACCATCGTTCAAGTCTGTGCTCCAAATACTGATGCTGTAGAAGATGAAATTGAAAGCTTTTATGCAAACAGGGAGAAAGAAATTAATCACACACTGAAACAAGGCATGATTATAATCATAGGTGACTGGAGCACAGAGGTAGGAAACAAAGCAGAACCAAATGCTGGGAAATTTAGTCTAGGGGATGGAAACGAAGCAGGAGAATGATTCAGAGAGGTCTGTGAAGCCAAGTTGAAAGATTTAAAGGAGAAAGAAAAGAGGAAGATTAAATGTAAGATGGATTGAGTGTCTAAAGAAACCACTGGCTTGAACTCACAAGAGCTGAGCAGGGCTGTTAAGGTCAGGACATTTTGGAGATTGCTTATTTATAGGGTCGCCATAAGTCGGAGGCAATTTGACTGCATATAATAACAGCATCTGATGACCAGGATAACAGTTTAGGGTTTGAAATGGGTACATTGTTTTTCCTCTAGCTTCTTCCATTGTTTTTTTTCCCTCTAGTCATGTCACAAATGCAATGAGTTTCATTCAGTTATTCTATTAAAATCTTTTAGCAAGGTTTGCAAGAATTGATTACTATATAAATTCTTTAGTTGGCTTATTTATTTAGTAATGATGCCTTGAACCTATTTGATAATGTTTCCTTCCTTCTTTTCCAGATATTCTATTTGCCTATGGGTCTCTTTATTCCACCTTCAGTGTATGCTGTTCATCTGCAATTTAATTTACTTTATCAGTTCTGGATACACACAGAGGTAAGTTGGGATTCTAAGCAATGGCTAAGCTGTTAGTTTGGAACAGTGTCTTGGAAATCTACTAGTAGCTGATTTATTGTGTAAGAAAACTATTTTTCTGACTTCTTTAAAGAGAAACATATGCTCATTTTTACTCCTTATTTTAGCATATATAAATATATATTGCTATTTTTATAAGAAGCAATGAAGCCAGTTGGTAACAATTAGTTTAAAAAATATTTTGAGTTATGACAAATCCAAACAGTATACTTATTTAGAAGTATAGTAGCTGATTTATTGTGTAAGAAAACTATTTTTCTGACTTCTTTAAAGAGAAACATATGCTCATTTTTACTCCTTATTTTAGCATATATAAATATATATTGCTATTTTTATAAGAAGCAATGAAGCCAGTTGGTAACAATTAGTTTAAAAAATATTTTGAGTTATGACAAATCCAAACAGTATACTTATTTAGAAGTATANTTGTGGTACTGCAGATAAGACAGACCTTATATCTGAGAAAGTTATTTCAAGCAAAACACATGGGTTGGTTCCTTCATGGGCCATATATTGCATGCCCTTGCTTTATCTGGCATAGAAATATATTCCTTAGTTTACATGGCAATACAGTATAGGGGCATGGGTAAATCTAGTTATTAGTCCCAACTTAAGTAGACCTGTTGAATCAGTGGAATTTGTCTAGGTCTTGACTAATACCATTGATTCAGTGGATCTCGACTAGAGATGGGGACGAATTGCCATTTTGGCGATTCATGCTGCTTTGTGATCCATCAAAGTTGACGAAGCACAAAGCTCCTACCCATGAACCGACGAAACACAAATTTATTTGTCGGTTAATGGGAGGGGGGTAGATAGCCAGAGGCTTTCTAAAAAAAGCTGACCCCACCCCACCCCTTGCAGCTTGTCCCCTTGCCCCTATCACCTCCCTACCTTGTCGGCCTCAGTCTGTGCTGCCACTGCTGCGGCCGCTGCGGCCGCTGCCACTACTACCATCCATAGCAACCCGCGCCATGGTGGCCTCCACAGGCATCGGCTGGCTTCTGCCACTAGGGCTGGCCTTAAGGGAAATCTCAGCTGCCTTTTGCAAAGATGCTGGCTGCAGCTTCTCTGCCCCAAATGAACCTGTAGCCACAATCTTTGCAAAGGGCAGCCAGTGTCCCTTACTGCAGGCTGTGGCTGCGTAGGCCACCACAGTGGGCTGTGATAGATGACGGCAGTGCTGGGCAGTGGCGGATGGTGCACTGAATCAATGAGTCTACTCCACCTGAGACTAGCAATAAGATTGTCTCTCATACTTTTGAGTAAACTCCTGGATCTTTCAAAAGAGAGAGAAAGAGAGAGAGAGCAAGCAGTACTATGAGTTCAAGAGTCTCATAAAACATTTTGGGGACTAGGCTCTCAAGTTTCAAAATTGAACCAAAGTTTTATGACTTCTGATCTCTTCATTTTGTATATCATTAGTTCACTAGTTGTTTCTTCACTAGTCTTGGCATCAGGCCTACATCTTCCTTCTTGGTATGGTCACCTGGACTCCATGCACCAAATATGCTATTGTGCATTGAAAAAGCAGGTTATTGTATGATTTATTATGCACTGAATTAATGAAGAACTGATGCATTTGCAATATGTGCAGTGTCCACACATGCAATGCCCCCTGGGCTGTGACACACCTGGGATAATAGATCGAATTGTTCCCAGTCTGCAACTGGTGTTTTGTTTCTTATATTCCATCCAGTCACACCCAACTTACAGTTACCCTAACAGTGTAAAGTATAAAATGTTTAAGTTGTGGTTTTAACAGTGCCACCCTCCCTTTGCCCAAAGTTTCCACAGCTGAGTAGGGATGTAAACCCATGTCTCCCAAGTCCTAGTCTATCACTCTATCCAATACACCACCCTAACACTCTCTCTTACCCTATTCAGTTCTTACCTACCTGGCTGTTATCAACAAATGTTGAATGAGTGGCTAGCTTCTCTTCCCTCCACTGTTGCTTTCTCAAGATAGAGAGTGATGTGTTTAAAGTATAGGATAGTGTCCAAGGTCCTGTACATAAGCAAGAACCTTGGAAAATCTGGATTCTTGCTTGCAAGATTACACATGCACAAGACTTTCTCCACTCTAGATATACTGTATCTCCACTCCAGATAAGAAAGCACTGATGGAGAGAAGAGATACCAGTCATTCCTTTCAACATGTGTTGAAAACAACTGGATAGGTAATGAGTGAACTGGGACCATATAACAGCCATTTCTTCAGATTTTTTTTTCTGTTTTCTAATAAAAGACAATATCTATTCTCTGGACCAGCATGCGTTCTTACAACGGAACCATCTTTGGCTGCTGGAGTGGTCGTAATTGACTAGATATGTGGGATAAATAAATAAATAAATAAATAAATATATGCCAGATGATTGAGATCAGTCCACAGCATAGTGATCATTTTTCAGGTTGTGACAAATTATTTTGAACAGTACTATATTAGTAAAGATTTAATTCTAGGATGTACTAGCTCATGCATTACTCCACGTCTAAATTACTGTTGCAGTTATTTTTGCTTTGCATAGCATCTTTTAGAAAGTTTTAGTCAAGTAGCCCTCATAGTGCTGTGAAGAGGCCTATATATCATCCCATCCTGATATTCGAAACTATGTTTTCAGATTTCCTGTGCATATTGCTTTGACGTACTTGCTGTGCAGTTACACTTGGCCTTTTATGTACAATATAACCCATGCTTTAAAAATATTATAAATCTGAAGATTAAACTAAGCTGCTCTGCTAGTTATAATAAAAAACTAAAATCACAATGGGCTGTTAGGACAAATAAAACAGTCCTGCTTTTTATAAAGAAAAAGCGTCCAGGTGTTACTGTGACAGAAATAAATGTAATTTCATTCAGATGTTGCTGTCTGACAGATGTGAATTGTATATTTACATTTAATTATGTGTGCTTCCATTACAAAACTGCAACTCTCATCTTGGAGCTACTTCTATTGCAACATTAAATCATAAATGACTGCTCTGGATGAAAGTTTCCCATATATACTGTATATAGTTTAGCCAAATGATGCTCCTAAATTTCTAAAATAAGCCACATTCCATTCTTCCTATCCAGATTACTGATATATAAAAAACAAAGGGGCTTTTCAAATAAGATCATTAGGAGCCTGATATCTCCTAAAATGTTTTGAGAAAATATTACATGACAGTTGTTTGAAAAAGATGAAACATTATAAGCAAAGGGGAAAAAAAGCAAAGTGTGCTGCTTATATACTGCCCCATAGCGCTTCAAGCACTCTCTGGGCGGTTTACAATTTAATTATGCAGGCTACACATTGCCCCCTCCCCCAGCGAGCTGGGTACTCATTTTACCGACCTCGGAAGGATAGAAGGCTGAGTCAACCTTGAGCCGGCTACCTGGGATTTGAACCCCAGGTTGTGAGCACAGTTTTAGCTGCAGTACAGCGTGCCACGAGAAAACAAAACAAAAAGTAGAAGTCAAAGACGCATATGACTCGATGAATCCTGTTAACTATCTGCTGCTGTTTGTTAGCCAGGTGCTTGTATCCTGCCGTGTGCCAGCCATTGCTTGAAATTGAACTACATACCTTTCATAGTGGCATCTGGATAGTCTTAGTGCACATATGTGAATAATGCTTTTTCAGGCATGTTGCAAAAGAGACTGATTCAGACCAGGAAAACAATACTAATGGACAAAAGACGTAGTTCAAGAGCAGTGAACCAGGATTATTGATGTTTATTACTCTTTGGGTAGTATAAAGGCTGAAAACAAAAGCATATATTTTAAAATAATGCTTTATGAGCTTCAGAAATAGTGATCAAAACAAGTTTAGGATTATGAGGGATGATGCTTTTTGGAATGCAGCAGTTAGAGAAAGAAAGCAACAGACATAGCTATAATAGATTTAGAGGAAATAGTGCACTTAGCGATTCATTTCAAATATGTCAGTCAGTTATCTCCCTATGAATACTGACAGTTCTGTTAGTGCACACCTTTAATACTGATTCTACAGAATGTCTTTTCAAGAAAATAAAATCTATGTATTCACTTCCATCAAGTCAGAACTGACTTATAGGGACCCTAATAGGACTTTCAAGGTAAGTGAGGTATTTTAAAAGTAATCACCAGTTCCACTCCCGCAGTGAGTTTCCATGGCCACTCCCCCATTTGAACCCTGTTCTCTAGAGTCTTAATATTTCACTCTAGTCACTACAACACATTGGGAATCCTGTATTCATGATCAATACTCTGATTATTCTGGACTGGGATGGGAAGCATGTAGCCTTCCAGATTTTCCTGGACTGAAATTCGCAACACCAAGAGCTAATTACAGAGTTGCTGTCCAGCAACATCAGGAGAGTTATACATTACTGATCCTGCAACACCGAGAGCTACTGTAACTACAGAGTTGCTGTCCAGCAACATCAGGAGAGTTATACATTACTGATCCCTATCCTGACCCATGGATCAAATATTTCAAATAACACTGAAATGTTTGTATAATTGGATCTTCAGTGTTAATGAAACATGGACATCCATTTAAAATAAAACCTCTAACTGAAGTTGCTATCCTGTATGTACTTCTTAGGAAAAAGTTCCACTTAATCCTGCAAGCCTTAGTTCTTGGTAGACATGAATAGAATTGTACTATGAAATTCTTTAGAACTGTCAGCCATTTTTCACCAAGCAGGCCAATATGTTATTTGAAATTGTGTTGGTATGTCTATCTGTCTATCTGACTAGTTGTACATATGGCCTATTTGAAGAAAGACCTTGGATCTGTCCAATGTGAACCAGAACCTTCTGTTGAAAATTTTAGGTGAAAATATTCACATCAGATGCCAAGTTTACTCAGATCTTGATTCAGGAAGAAAATAAAAACATGCTTGAATGACAGTATTATCCATTAAACATAATTTATTATAGACCGAGTTCTTAATACCCTCCTATTTATTGTATAAACAGTTCCTAACCCTATCTATTAAAGCTAAGCTTTCACCTCTTGATTCCTGGAGTAAAGTTATATCAGAAATTCAGACCCCCATGAATCTCTTTATGATCCCAACAGGCTGGTTCCTTTAGCTTGTTTTACTTCCAAACCAAAAATATTATTGTTTCGCTCCTCAGTGTGGAAATTTGGCTACCTCCATATTACACGCTTACTGGAGTAGAAAACGGCCTAATCAGATAGGAAAACAGTTGGCTGTGAATAAATCAGGGTTTGCCGAAAATTTCAAAGTGTGAAAGCAGGCAGACGAGCATATATCCTAGGGGTTCTGCTTTTCTGCAGCTTCCCTGTAGAGAATTCACATGGCCAATATGGCCACCAGGTCCATCTGTATAAATACATGGGTGGGTTGTCTTGAATTAACATAACATCTTTAGTAGGGAAAGCAAACCATGCTTTTATTTTTATGTTTCCTCACCAGATGGTCTGAAATATGGATTCATATTCTAAAGAACTATGTTTTGTAACACCTTTACTTTGATGAAGTGATTTATGAAATTGTGGGCTCAAGAAACAGTTGTAGACTTCTATAGATAGTTTGTTTGTTTTCTGAGTTGACAAATTGCTCATAATTGTTTTATCACTTTAGTGTCTAATGTTTGATTCCCTGATTTCTTTTCTGTGCTTAGAATATCTTCTAGGAATACGAAAACACAACTGTGTTCATCGTGGTCTTAGTACAGCAAGTGTAGCCTGCGTATAAAACAAACCAGCTCCTGAATGCATTTGTGTCCTTTTGCCAGTTCTACTTTGTTGCTCATGAGTACTGCCCAAAAATTGTTTTGCAGGAGGAAAAAATTACATCCAGCATCCAGAGTTTTAAAAAGTTAGGCCTTTGGGATTGCAGCACCCACAGTCTTTTAGCAATGATGGTCATTGTGAGTTGTAGTCCAATCAAGCGACTTTTCCAAGCTCTGCCGATACCAAGAGAGAACTGCCAAACAGGTGGCCAGCACCGTGGGTTCTGATATTATCCATCACCTGTTCCAAACACCCTCCCCCATTTCAGCAGGTGGCCAGGGTTGACAGGGCTGAATTGCAGGCCATGGCCATGTGGAGCATAAATTTAAACTCTTCAAAGCTTTAATATTGTAAGTGGCATTGTTAGCAGGAATGTGAAGTGGGGGGAGGAGTGTTTGAAGCATGTATGTTTTTCAGAGTGTGCGGTTCTAGCCCACTTCTAAGCCAAGCCAAAATCTATAACTCAACCTATCATTCTCCTCATGTTGGGAACCCAAACATCACATACTTTTTACAAAAGTATATCAATATTTATTTTAAAAACAAATGGGTCAAAGTTGGGTGTTTATTTTAGAAGAAAGATAAACTACTGATGTTTTACAGCTTTGGGTAATGATTTCAATGCAAAGATCCCTTTTTTACTTGATTATAACTGCAGTCCTATACAGAAATCAGTCCCATTGCTTTCAATGAGGTCGACTCCCCCAGGTAAGTATCTGGCAACTAGTGGTGGATAATTATGGCCAGCGCTGATTTAACCAACCCATTGCATTCACACTGTTTAAGGTAATAGGGCTTTTTTTTTTTTTTTTTTTTTTGCTTGATAGATGGTGGAAGCTCAACTACCCTGAAATATGATTCCCCCCCCACACACACACACACACAATTGTAGGTGGCCTTCTTGGGCTTTTTGCTAACAGTTCCAGAAATTCAAATCTGAATATTTGTGTAATTCCGCCCCCCCCACATGAGCAATAAAGATAAAAATAAATACGATATGCTGCTGTGAGATATTTTGAGGATTACCTTGCACAAATTTGCTTTGTTCAGATAAGATTGTCCATGTGATGACACGAGTACAACTCAGGTTCCTTTGGAAATACTTTGCTTATTTTGGGCTGTGCATCTGTCTTACTAATTGGACAAAACATGCTTGGAAATTATTGATCACCTTTTTTTCTGTAAAAACTAATCAAGAACAATGTATGGAATGAACTTTAGCAACTGCACGGAACCCGTTTTTTTGAGAGTTAACAGTTGCCATTTGCGGAATATGAACTAATAAGATATTGATTCTTCCTTTAATAACGAATCTCCTTTTAAAGGAGACCTTAACTTCTTTGTTTTGAGATTAAGAGTAGAGATGGACACAAACTGCTGGGTCAGCACAATTTGTTTCCTGGCCAAAAAGCTAATCCATGAATTGGTGCCACCCCTCCAGTGGGCATTCCCACGAGGAGGCAGCACCAGGAGGAGGCAGGACAGGGTGCTGTTGCTGAGTGAGTGCCCACTGGAAGAGGTGGAGCACCAATCTGCAGATCAGCTGTTCAGCCAGGAAATGAATTGTACCAAACCAGTAGTTCATGCCCATTTCTAATTAAGAGATACAGCATGGTTAGCCCTGAACACAAGTCACAGTTGTTAAGAGTGATGGAGAGTGACATAATGCTTAGTGATTTGAGATGGGTGCAAAAAGACCATCAAGCTTAATAAACGGACTTAGGATAGTCTCTCAGTCTAACCTATTCCATAGACCTCTTGTTAAGGATGAATTACTAGTATGTGAAATTACATGTATGTGTCCTGATATGAATTTAAGCTAATGATCCGATAACATATCTCACATAAATAAATGTTTTTTTTCTTGAATTATTATTATTATTATATATCATAGCAGTTTTCCATCTCTATATGTGAAAATGTTTTTTTTCTGGATAAGCTGTTGCTAATCAATTGTTTTCCTTTTTTCAAGCTTTCTCTTATAGTGGAATCTGTAATTTCCTCCCCTTTTGTCCTTTTGTTCTGACCTGATCAATAGTCGTTAACAAGATGGTTATTGTTTCTGTTCTTCAAAGGTTATTAACAACCTTGGCCCGTTGGAGTTTCTTCTGAACACTCCTAGCCATCACAGAGTTCATCACGGTATGCAATTCTTTATTTCATGAGGCCAGTTTGTAACGTTTCCTCTCTTGTATTATTTTGTATAGGACAGTGGATTTCAGGGACAGATTCTGCAACTGAGTGTTGTTGTTGTTTTTGTGTGATAAAGTCTTAGTAGTAGTCTCGTAAAATTTTAGATTGGCTTTAACATTTGATATTTTAACATCTCAAACAAGAGATGTCAGTCATAATTAACTTTGATGTCTGGCTGGATGTCTGTGGCTTGTTGATTTCAATCTTGAATCTATCCATAATGTACACAGATTGCTTTCTTGAAACTTCCAGAGCCCTAAACACATGTACAAGTGCATTTTTAGTGCTCTCATAACATTGCGTTTTGCAGTTGTGTGCTACCACAGGTGAATCATAGTTTTTATATCATGGTTTAAAGTGATACATCATACTATCTTCAGAACATCTTTGTTCTTTTTTTTGAGCATGACTTTAAAAAAGAAAATAAGAGAAAGATACTTTCTCCTTTCTTCAACCCAAGATATCTTACAAGGCATTTAATCAGCTTTCCTTGGGCCTATGGGGAAGTTGTTTATTTGGGCTTTAGGAGAGGGGCTCTTCTCTGATGGGGATTTTTTTGGGGGGGAGACATGAAGGGAAGGTTATTTCCACACCGAAAAAAGTAAATTAAACTCAGAGTGTATTGACATTTTTTTTCCTTCTCAAATTTTATCTGGTAGACACAGATTTAGTGCCCCCCCCAATAATTGTATATTATTAAATTGATATAAATATATTAGGGTATAATTATATTCTGAAAAATCTATTGTAATGTGTTTCCTTTACCCAATTAAAATGCCTTTTTATACAAATGTGTCTGGGGGGGGTCATGAGTTACTCGTCTATTATAAATGGGGGTCATGACTCAAAAAAAGGTTGGGAAATACTGCTATAATGTGATTTATTACACTAAGCAACAAGATTTTGGTCATTCTGTATTCTGAATATGCATACAAAATGTATATGACTTTCCTGTGTGTGTAAATAAATGCTTCTGGATCAACAAATAAACTTGTGCTTGCAGAAATGTGAATGCTGTAGAAAGCAAAAGATACAAATTAATCTCTCCCTAGACCTAATGGTGATTAACTTATAGTGTTTCCTCGAAAATAAAACAGGGTTTTATATTAATTTTTGCTCCAAAAAATGCAGTAGGGCTTATTTTCAGGGGATGTTTTATTTTTTCATGTACAACAATTTACATGTATTCAAATACATCTTCTTCTGATTGCTGCACAATGGTGGAGGGCAGGGTTTCACTTAACTGAGGCTTATTTTTGGGGTAGGGCTTACATTACAAGCATCCTGAAAAATCATACTAGGGCTTATTTTCAGGTTTAGGTCTTATTTTCGGGGAAACAGGGTAGAACTTTGTGACAGTGATTTTAATTTTTCCTCCATAGGGAGAAATCAATATTGCATCGACAAAAACTATGGTGGCACACTGATCATCTGGGACAGAATTTTTGGTAAGTGTAGTTAATTGTTTTCCCTAAAACTAAGGTTGCAATGCTTAATTTTTTATCAACTTAAATCTTTTTCCTTCCTTCAGGGACGTTTGTGGCAGAAGAAGATAAAGTTGTTTATGGTCTAACACATCCAATAAACACTTTTGAACCTTTCAAGATCCAGGTAGCTCTTTTCATCCTATTTTACTAAGTTATATGTATATTTTCATAACATTGTCGTAGTGGTTCAGATTACACTGTCCCTTAACTGCTGTTGTTTTCATTGATTGCCTTCAGTTCACTTCCAGAGATAAGAATTAAGCTAATTTAACTCAGTGTTAGAAAAAAATATTGTTGAGCCCCAAACATGGTTTGTTTTCTCAAAAGAACTGAGTGCCCTAGCCTAACATTACATACTAGTTCTTTCAATAAAAATTAAAGGCCTGGTCACAGAAACAGTTTTCACAGTGCAGTTGTCATTTAACCTTTGCATGAAATGACTGTGAATACATTTTAGCCATAAATGATCATTACTGATAATAGATAATAATTTATTAAATGTAGGCTGAAATCCATTCATGGAAAATTACCCCATGTAAGGCTCAGAATGTCACCAGCCAGGGAACATTTGGGAAATTAAATATTTCCTACTTCTGTTCGAGGGCACCCATAGCTCCCATGTAATTTCTTTCATCGTCAGGAGACGATGAAGGATGTGAGACAGAAGAGGAACTCTTTATTTAGCAAATAGAAACTGTTGCCACCCATAAAGTGAGTGCATGTTCTCATTGACAAAGACACTGAATAGGTTGTAATTATTTTTTAAAAATAGAGATGTCAAGAAAAAAAATCCTCATCCTCAAAAATCCTCATCAGACAGCCTGTATATTGTTATTTTTCCACCCTGATCTATGATCAGTCACTGAATGTAGCAAGTGTGTGATTTGGGAAGGTTTTCTTTTGAAATGAGATCTTGTTTGCAGCTCTGGAAGATTTTTGCATAGAACAAGAGCTCAGTTCTGCATTGAACAGGAGTAACTGCAAAAAGTTGTTGACTGCAAATTCGCTTTTAAGAGCTCAATAATTAACAAAATAAATTCCATTTTTAAACTTATATTTGCAGATTTGGCAATATAAGTGTAAGCTTGAGGCCTCTCATGCTTTCCTCTTCCTTTTTCTGGACTCACTATCAGGAGGAAATTGGAAGTTTTGTCTTCCATTTTGAAATTGCCAGTGAATCCACACAAACCCTGAGGGGGCTGACAGTTTCCATTAACCACATATTAAATAACTATTCTAAAGTCTTTTTAAAATGTGTTAACATTAGCACAACAAAATAATTCAGCAAAATAGATACAACTCTTACATTATATCCTGAAAGACTGTACAAATAATTGTTGTCGTTTAGTCGTTATGTCCTATCCAACTCTTTGTGACCCCATGCAACAGAGCACGCCAGGCCCTTATTATTATTATTATTACAAATAATACCTGAGTGCAATGTTCCCTCTAGGCTGTGTGACTGTGTGGGCATGCAGTGCTGCACCCACCCTCCACAAAGTGTATTGCTCCCTCTGCTCACCCACAGCGTGCTTCTAGCCCCTTTGGGTCTGGTCGTGGCTGGAACCACAATAGGGGCCAGAGTCATGTTTTGGGGAATGGCAGAGTCATGCACACAAGGGGCGGAGCCTCACCCAGCAGGGCTGAAAATCAGAAGCAACATTGCCCCAGTGATAATAAGCTTATGCTTTATTTTTCTAAACCGTAACATTAGTCATGGTTCCCAATATAAACAAGAATAGTTAGGTGAAAACAGAAAGAAGAGCATCTGTCACTACCTTGTAGCTGTACTGGGAGAAAAAAGGGAAAATGCGACTGCAGGAGCAATAGTGCTAAACCGTTTAGCTTATATTGAAGGGCATCTGTTACAAAATTACTGTGCCATGTCTCTCCAGTCTTACATTTCCATAGCAATACTTTCAGAAAATGCCTTATGCTATTTCCCTCTTTTCTGTTAATTATATTATCGAGAACACTTGAATGCGAGCAATAGTAATGCTTAATTGTTCCATTTTGCAGTTTCATCATTTGGTTTACATGTGGAAAACATTTTGGGCTACACCTGGATTCAGAAATAAGCTTTCTGTCATACTGAAAGGTCCTGGATGGGGGCCTGGTAAACCAAGATTAGGCCTTCTTGAGGACATTCCAGAGGTAAGTATAATGTGCCTTCTGATTTATTGGCCAACTAAATTCTGTTTCTGAAAGGGTGAGATCCTATATATGTGCATCTGAGATCAAGCAACATTGAACTCAGTGGAAGATATTTCTGGGTAAATGTGCATAAGATTGACCTATAATTCTAATCAGGTAGATCATTTTTAAACATCTGTGATGGGGGGGGTTGGTTTGGTGTTTTGTTTGTTTGTTTGTTTGAAGTTCTGACATTTTAATTTAGGAATTAAACTCCTTTGATTTCACTGAGGTTTATTTCCCCAAGTACCTGTCTTTGTTGCTTAAAAAGCTAACTGGGGAAGAGAGAATTAAGATACTGGAAGAATTTCATCTGTGCTCTCAAAACAGTTTATATAGGTAGGGCTGGATTCTCAGGTCCAATGGGACTCACGTTGCAGGGAGGCAACACATTTTCTCTTGTTTATGAGAACATAGGTTGAAAGGTTTATTTATGCCATGGAAACTAAACTTCATGTTACTAAAAATGGCTTTTTTGGGGGAAAGAATATGTAATAGGGTATGTTTGCAAATATTACATCCCCCTAAGTATATAAGTTAAGTAGATGAAAGGCCTTGTAGAATCCTCTGTTTAGATTAAACCAGCAGTGGAATGTTAAAGATGTTTTGTCCTGTTTCAATACAAGGCAGAGCCACTGGTAGGGTCTAACAGCCCAAGGCGTATGTAACACTGCACATTGCTAGCAGACAACACAATCAAGGGGAATCCAGAAGCAAGGTCATGGAAGAGAGCTGAGGTCAGAGTCATACAAGTCAAGATATTAGCAGATTAATTTCATGAATAAGGGCATGTAAATCATTCAGACACAGTTCACAAGGTCCACCTACAGAAATTGTTCCAGCGGCTCCTTTAGTTCTATAATGAAGCTTTTAAGCTGCTTAAATCTGGAGGAAGTGGACTCACAGCCATCCTTCCTGATGGTCATGGCTACTTACTGAGGGCCCTGGATCCTCTTCCGACGGTAACTCCCTTAGCAGGGCCACAACAGCTTTCAGCTACTGTACTGGAAATAAAAATTGGCAAAAAATAAATAAATGACCTTTGAACTGCAGAGCTGGAAGGGACCCTGTGGATCATTGAGTCCAGCCCCTTCCAAGGAGGCACAATGAACTCCCAACCTCTGCCTCCATAACCAGAGATCTAAGCCACTGAACAATCCAGCAGTTTATTTATTTATTATTTTTATTTATTTATTGGACTTATATACCGCCCCATAGCGCTACAAGCACTCTCCGGGCGGTTTACAATTTTAATTATACAGCCCACAACAGCTTTCAGCTACTGGAAATAAAAATTGACAAAAATAAATAAATGACATTTGAACTGCAGAGCTGAAAGGGACCCTGTGGATCATTGAGTCCAGCCCCTTCCAAGGAGGCACAATGAACTCCCAACCTCTGCCTCCACTAACAGAGACCTAAGCCACTGAACAATCCAGCAGTTCATGGGTGACATAATGTTTCTTACATTTTATTCAATGTAGGTTACAGGGAAGGAGGTTCCCTTCAATCCCAAGTTGCCAAATCATCTTTGTGTCTATGCAGTAGTTCATTTTGTCATCATGCTGGGTTTTTATATTGACCTGTTTGCATCCAAATCTGTAAGTAGCATTCATCTATATTTGAATATGCTATTTTGTGTTGCTGGAATAAGATCACATATATATTCCAAATGGTATCTGCTCTTAAGATTTGAGACGTAAAGCTCTAAGGCACATGTTATTCTATCTGGATTGGAGACCACTTGTCATATACCCTCATATCCAGTGGTTGAGAAAACAGTTACATATCTGGTCACATGATGGACAACAAACAAAAAAGGTAAACTGTGTGCAAATAGGTAAAATGCATTATTAATGTAGCTTCTTTCAGTATTACTAAATTCTGGTTAGTCATCCCTGAAGTTTAATCTTTTCTTGCTTTATTACTTATATCAATAACTCATCTCTCATAATAACTGAACTATTAGGTACAAGAGTATTTTTGCTTGGTTTTTTAAAAATTCACCTTCCTCCCAGCACCCTGCAAGACAGCCATTGTGTATTTCACCAGTATGAATTCAGGTTGCATAATACTTAACCTACACAAAAAGGGAGCAATTGTTCCAACAGCTAGCATTAACAAAAGAATGTAAAGACTGCATAAAAATCCACATTTAAGGATCCAGATTCTAGGCATGATACTGAAAGTAGAGCTGGACAGAAGGCTGCCTTCCAGGAGCTTTCTAAAAATCCAGAAGGAACTATTATAAGAAAGCATGTATGTGAATAATATAACTTGGCATATAGCTTCAATATCAATTTTCCGCTGCAATGAATTATGAAATGCCCATAGACACAACTGGAACTTTTTCCTTGGCTATGTCATAAATGTGGCGTCAGTCCATAAGTAGATGCAACTGTTTTCCTCATTTTTAGTCATATGTTCCACTCCATAATGGTAATAATGCACTTGTAGGAGTGTACACTATTATTATTCTTAGGTCATTATGGTCACTGTATCTTCTGTCTTCTGCGTATAAGTGCATAAAGGTTATTTCTCTGCATTATATTGCTCTTCTTGGTATGGAATGGTTTTCTTGGAGGAGGTATGAACAAAAGAAAATATTCAGATCTGAAAACATTTAGTTAGATGATACTTTCACAAATAAGTATAAACAAAAGCCAAATGGAAAGAACTTCACTGATTTTCAGTAAGGCTTGGATTCAGCTCAAAATACATGAGTTGGAAATGCTTTGCACTGAACTGTCCATCAGTTCAGTCTCACTGCAGATTCAGTTCTGCCTCCTTACCATTGCACCTTAACTTTTGCTTTTGCTATTCAGTTTCTTGAATCCTGTATTTCAGTAGAAACCATTATCTACTTACTGACAGTGTTTAACCTGAGAAATCTGCTCCTTTGTGTCGAATATTGGTTAATGTTTGACATTCCATATCCACACAATTGGAGGTATGGGACTGGTTTGAACTGTTGTAATTGACAGAATGAAAGGCACTTACAGTATTGGGATCTATAGAAGCTTTTGATTCCCAATGTGGTGTCATGGATAGAGTGATGGACTAGGGCTATAGAGAACAGGGTTTGAATCCTGGCTGAGCCACAGAAACTCACTGGGGGAGTGGAACTGGTTAAACTATTACTTAGATATTTCATTTATCTTGAAAAGGACTATTAGCGTTGCTAGAAGTCGGTTCCAACTTGACAGCACAGAACACACAACACATGGAAGCTTTTGTCAGGAGAGAAAATGTCCATTTATGTTAGAGGAAGCTTCTTTGGATCCAGCCCTGTGTATTAAGGAGACTGCTAAAAGTTTAAAGTTCAGGTGAACAAAGTACTGCTTACCAAATGTTGCTGGACTGCAGTTCCCCCATAACTGTTGGTTATGTTGACTAGGGCTTATGGTTCAACATCATTTGAAGAGCTGCACTTTGCCCACCCTTACTGATTTAGAATATACCACTAATTTTAAAAAATTATATATTAATCCTTTGGATTGCCATTTTTTATTTTACAAGCATAAGATAATTAAAGTTTGCTTGAAAGTCACAGCAATATTCCTTTTTCTCTGCAGTTTTTCACAATTGGTGTGTATTATTTAGAACAGTGAACTGAGGTGCTTACTCATTTCTTAGCTCTTTCTCTCCTGTTGCTCAAGGCAGGGTGTAAATTTTCAGTTCTTCATCCTGCCGAGCAACGAGGAAAAATTTCAGAAGTTTCCCCCCCTGCTGAGTAACATTATAGGGGTTTTCGTGCATCTTTCACACTTTGAGAAATCTTTGGGCAAAAAAACAAGTATTTTTAGTGCAAAAGACTAAGAATTTTTTGTTTTTTGTTTTTGCAAAACACTTCTGTTTAGTTAATACTTCTAAGGAAAAAATGCTGTTCTTTTCATTCTCATGCAGGAATGAAATACTTTGCAGCATTTGATCACTTTGTTTATCAAGAATAAGAAAATATGCCTTTGTTACACTCTTATTAAATAATACTTCAGTGGCTAAAGTGCAGTTTGACCCTTTCATACAATTTAGATATAAACATGGAATGTAAATACGGGAACTATACTTGTATCTCCAAGCATACATCTGCTATAATGAGGTGGGCAATTCTTAACCCTCTGGTGTGTCGAGCCATCAGCCTAATATCACGTAGCCCTTGGCACAATTTCAAAAACTTTCTGCATCTAAGCAAGTGTCAAGATGTTGGATAAATTCCACAAAGGACTCCAATAATGAGATACTGTATATGAATAGCCATTTATAAACTCAAGTCCACAAAATGTAATTATGAGCCATAAGGTTGCTCACTCACTTTAGGCTGCAGTCACACTGGCAATAAGAACTCCATTTAAGGATCATTTAAATCTATTTAGATTTTATCATTCACTCAACTCAAGGATGAAATCAATTTATATGGGCTGCAAAGTGAGTTTTTTTTCCCCACTAGGCCAGCAGGGGCTTTTTAAAATACCTTGCCCCACTAGGCCAGCAGGCACTTTTTAAAATACCTTGCTTCTAAAATTGATTCAATTTAGTGCAGTTTGTGGATGCAAATGCTGCTGTCATTTTCCTTTATGGATTTCGGGTGGCAGATCCACAACCATTTTTCTTTTAATATTTAAAAAATTCTTTCTAAAAGCATTTATCACTGCATCACTTCATTAATACGTTCAGCATTACAACCACCTACCCCATTCTCTCCATTTGGCCAATGAAGGAACCAGTGGAGGAACAGAAGACCAGCAGGTGTAGAGCAGATGTGCCTGGACACGGAGGACAGTCTGTGTGCCAGGAGCATCACCCTGCAAAGGAACTGGAAACTTCTCATATTTTTATCATTAATTGCCTGTGATCATTTCTCCAGTGTTTCCCCTGTAGTTTCTAGCAACTATTATGGCACCAGGTGGCACCTCCTAGACACTCGATTTATTGACGGATCCCTTACATTTTTGGGGGGGGGAGTACAATTTTTTTAAGAACAATGGGCTCCTAAAACAGAACCCTGCAAAGGAACTGGAAACTTCTCATATTTTTATCATTAATTGCCTGTGATCATTTCTCCAGTGTTTCCCCTGTAGTTTCTAGCAACTATTATGGCACCAGGTGGCACCTCCTAGACACTCGATTTATTGACGGATCCCTTACATTTTTGGGGGGGGGAGTACAATTTTTTTAAGAACAATGGGCTCCTAAAACAGAAAGGAAATGAGGATCCCTTACATTTTTTTGGGGGGGGGGGAGTACAAATTCTTTAAGAACAATGGGCTCCTAAAACAGAAAGGAAATGAGTCAATTTCAGCAGTATATATGCCAAAACTGATTTAAATCACTAGAAGTAAATCATGCAAAATCCAAAGAAACAACAAGACAGAAACATGGGGCACCTTAAAGACCAACTATTATATTTTAATGTGAGCTTTTGTGGATCAAGTCCACTTCCTCAGACTTAAGAAATATGATTGTCATATTTATGCATGGTATAGTCTCAGTCTGGTGTCTCAGGAAATGAACATGGAAGCTCACATTAAAATAGAGCAGCTGTATTTTAATTCACATTGCCAGTGTGACCATAGCCTCAATGGAAGATCAAATAAACATCTAATGTGTGGTGAGGTTTTTTTAGTGTATTTGCTAAGAGATACAAGCCAAGATGTCTCTGATTCTTGTACAGTGGTGCCTCACAAGACGATTGCCTCACAGGACAATTAATCCACAAGACGATTGTTTTTTTCAATCGCTGTGGTGCTTCGCAAGACAATGTTTTCTATGGATGGTTTTTGCAAGACAACGATTTTTCCCCATTGGAATGCATTAAATAGATTTCAATGCATTCCAATGAGGAACCATGCTTCACACGACAATGTTTTCTATGGACGATTTTTGCAAGATGATTTTTTTCCCATTGAAATGCATTAATTAGGTTTCAGTGCATTCCAATGGGGAACCGTGTTTCGCAAGACGATGTTTTCACAAGATGGCGTTTTTCGCAGAACGAATTAACATCGTCTTGCGAGGCACCACTGTATAAGCAATAGATTTACTCCACTGTAGGCTGAATAGCCCCATGTACATTGTTGGAGTGAAAACTACTAACCCAAAGTCTCATTAAAACAATACAGTAATTTTAAAATAGTAAAATAACATGTACTAAAAAAAAATAGAGCATCATCCCAAAGTTGGGCTGAAAACCTCGCCCAAACACTTTGCTGCAAGAGAAAAAGACAAGTTGAAATTAACTGAATGTGTCTCTTTTTTAAGATACAAAGGCCACTCATTGCTGGGTCATTTGCATGTTGGCTTGAACATATTTTTAGACTAAAAATAAATGAAAAGTGTTGTTCCATTGAAGTTCTCGTTTTGCATCTGCTTATTTCAAGTAGGGATGTAAATTTGTGGTTTGATCATTAGTGCTGGGGAGAACTATGTACTGGCTTGCAAACTAGTTAGGTTGTATGCATGTCTCTGTGTTTAGAGTAGCAAATCTGTTTTCTCTGTTTAATAGGAGTTAAAACTTTTTGTTAAAAATCCCTGGGGGTGCTCTTTGACTCTTCAGTAAAACAAAACCCACTCAGAAACAGCCTGGATCTTGTGGTTTGATGAGTTCTCCAAACACAGACAAAAGGATTTCACACTGCTATTAAATTTGAAGATCCTGTCCAACAGCATCCTTTCTTCAAATGCCTTTCAGAAGAATGAGCCTCTCTTTACGTTGGAGTGTGGAGGTTTTTTTTTTTTCCAGAGTGAATTCTGTTGAGATTTTTAAAAAAGCAGAACCCAAATTTCATCTGCATTTTCTTTTAGTCTGAACTAAAAGTCACAGCTCACAGACTCTGCTAGGAAGCCTAACAGTTTATGATACCATTTCCTTTTTTGAAAACAAATATATATCTATTAACTGCATAGGTGAAAATATTCTTCATATGATGCAATGGTACAATCACGCAGTGCTTTTCCTCCTTTAAAAATAATTTGAAAAATAATTGGCTTCCATTGTCTTTTATCTTTCTATCAAACTTTATGGATGGCAAAATCAGTATCTGGAAAGTAAAAAAAATTACTGCAGGCATACCTTGGTTTACGTAGGCCTTGGTTTATGTAATTTTTGGTTTATGAACCAAAATCCATAAGAAATAATGCCTCGGTTTAGGTTTTTTTATGGGGGGTGGGTTCACGGTACGAAAAGGATGCATTGCACCTGAAGGTTTCTAGCACCACCCCATTGCTATGGCAATCTGTGTTCTGGTTTACATAATTTCCACATTATGTAATGTCCTGGATGACGGATTAAGTTCATAAACCAAAGTACGTACTACTGTATTTTCTCTGACATGTTTCCCCAAAACGTCCTTTCCATAGTAGGAAAGGAAGTGCATTCCATTCACACAGAGTAGTTAGTATTCAAGTCTTCATGGCCAGCATGATTATGTATCTGATGAGGCATCCTTCAGTCTCGAGAGACTATGGTAACACTCTCTGAATGGAGGACTTGGAATAGCCTCTAGTGTATCATCTTGAGTGATTTTGAGTAATTTCCTTCCTGCCTGCCTGCCTTCCTTCCTTCTTCAATTCCAGGAAGATTTAACAAAAAAGAAATATGATATGATTTGACCTGGGTTAAATCAAGACAGCCGATAGCCTTTAAATTGCCTGAAAAGCTACAGGTCCTGCCTCTAAAGCAGTGTTTGCCAATCAAAGGGTCATAAAACCAAAGGAGGACCCCAAGGAGAGTCATGGTTTGCTTTATATGTGTTGTGGCCCTTGTTAAATAATTTCTTTCATGACCTTTTGGAGTAGGATATTAAAATTAGTATGTATGTACATGTATGAGAAACAGGTCCTTTGTAGGAGAAAGAAGCCTCTGTTTTCTGAAAAGGGATGACTTTTCCACATTAAAAATGCCCTTTTATGCAAATATGGTGGGGAGGTAAAAAGTTACGTGGCTATGATGAAAGGGGGTCACTAGTCAAAAAAAGGTGGGAACCGCTGCTCTAAAGCAACGCAAATATGTCACACACAGCATGGTGAGCTCAATGGCAGTTGCATGCAATACACCCCAAAGGTTAGACAGCTGATGTGCTGAAACTATACTATATACATGTATTTAGAACTTGCATTTTCTATCTCTCCTTGGACATAGGTGTTTTCTATTGAGAGAAGGTTTGCACCAGGATTCGAAGTGCATGGGCCAATGCTGTTAATGTTTCAGACATAAAGCTCAGTTGCCTGTGACATTATTTTTGCTCTGTGAGCTGCTGGTACAGTGAAAAACTACTGTGTGGTGGCTACTGATTTCTTCAGTGACAAGAAGTTCATACAGAAAGTGAGGGGCAAAGACTAAACAAAAGAAAGAGAGAGGGAAGCAGGAGAAGAAAACTTGAATTACGGGAGTGTAGAAATGATGCTCTGGGATGCCTGGAAAGGCAGATCAAGGCTTCAGAAATAACTTTTAAAAAGAAAAGGTGAGGAGGGGGTTCTGATCACTTGTGCCATGTGAACACGCAGTGTCAAGTACAGAAAAAGGAGAAGCAGAGAGAAAGATAGAAGACGGATTCAGAGAGATTCATGGAGGTGTAGAGGGAAGAAGACATCCTGTGGTTAATAGGGAAGAAATGGATGTTAACATAGGCTTAAATGCAGTGGTGGGTCCCAAATCAAGTAAGCATCCTGAATTAGTGAGAACCTAAATCAGTAGGTGCGTGAATTCAGTGGGTTCAGTAGATTTACTTTATTAACTGATTCAGACTAAATGTTTTAAAACATGAGAAAAATGCTTTTGTGCAATTAATTTGTAGGTGCGGCTCCCTTTGGCTGATCAAAATATAAATGTGACTTTTGAAGTGATGAGTTGCACAATTCTCTTTGATGGTATCAGGAAAATACTTTTTATTATAGTGTCTGTTCCCATTCACTTTCTTCATGCATATCTAATATAACTAATGCAAGGAAGTTGCCTTTGAATTCCCTCATTCTGTTGGGGAGGCTGAAAAATGCACCAAGTATATAGGATGGCATTAAATCAAGTGGTAATCCTGTCCATTTGTTTAATCTCTGTTGAGAGTTTAACTCCAGAATCTTAGTAACTGAACTGAAATGTGCTTAGCTTAATGTTCGCTTGGAATCAAATACAGACACCCAGTGAAATGCACTATTGATTTTAGGTTCACGTATTGAAATACTAAGAAGCAAAATGATAAATTTGAGATCATGTTAGAAGTGTGATAAATTATCAAACTGCTTGACTTATTTTCTTTTCCATATTTTTTTAACAGGATAGTGTTTTTGCTTGCCACTGCTCTCTAGAGAGCTGAGATTGGAAAATACGAAGATGTAATGCTATTAAGAGTTGGGAGAAAAAGAGCAGATATGTGATATGATATTTATTTAGAAAACAGGTCTACCCCTTTGGTTTGGGTCATCAAAGGTTCAAATAATGTCAGGAGAGGAAACCATAATAAGAGTGAAAGAATATCTTTTCAAGACTAACATTGTGTGAAGAATGATTTGGGGGGAAAATATCCAATTTTTGTAACCTTGAGCCTTGAAACATAATGACATTAAGAGGGAATGGAGAAGCTGCACTGGAGTTTCAGTTGTAAAGTTCAAAGTATCAAACTTCTCTAAAAGCAGACAGTAACAAAGTTGTATAATTGAGAGGGAAAGTTCAGGCTGCCTTACTGGCAAGTTTCGAATACAATATCCCTCCAGAGAGCCAACCTAAATGAGTAATTTGTCTGCTTGTTGATTTAACAGACGTTATCACAGGTAACTGTTCTCATGAGAGTTGGCTACATTATCCTGACACTGACCTCCATAGGTTTCCTCATGGAGCAAAGGTAGGTAATTGAGCATTTCTTTTCTGCCTTCGTACTGTAGAACATAAAGTGTGTTGATTGCTAGAATTGTCTCTTGCAATATTAAAATTACACGAGTAACAGAAGCTGAAGTGATACTTTGTGAAATAAACATGGTAGCACATTTTAAAAATGTTGTTCCATATTTCTTCTAAAGTTTTACTGATAGCGATGGATGAGGCATCTAAAGCGCTGTTTTTCCCAACCTTAAATTCCCAGCTGTTCTTGGACTAAAAGTCCCAGAAGCCTTTACCACTAGCTATGCTGGCCAGGATTTCTGGGAGTAGTAGTCCAAGAACATCGGGGGACACAAGGTTGGGAACCACTACTAGAAGATTGTTGTGGCATTACAAATGTGTCACCAGAGCTGAAGAAAATCTTATGGAGATGGATATTTGAAATGCTACAAAATAAATCTTACAGTGCTTGTCAGTCAAGTCTGTTGCCAGTGACAAATTATAATGTGGACAATCTATTATGCTATGTGCAGTGGATATAGGAAGGCCACCACTTAAGACAAGATTCATGGTAGTTAGTGTATCCATTCTATGGACAATATGTAAGAACATTTCCACTGCCATTCTCAGTGCTGCTAGTACTGCTATATATTAGTTTTCTCTGGAGGAGAAGACTGTTGGTTGCTAAGGAATTGTCCAGTTCTTTCTTTTAGCTCCAGAGGAAGAGGAAAAGATTCAGTTTTCTTTAGTTCTGAATGACTGAAGCAACTAGGCAGTTCACTGATCTAGAATGCTAGTTAGTTTTCATGTTTGTAGTCTGTTTGGTTTTTACTGGAATTATAAAGTCTATAAAGGTAAAGGTTCCCATTGACAATTTGTCCAGTCATGTCCAACTCTAGGCGGTGGTGCTCATCCCCGTTTCCAACCCATAGAGCTAGCATTTTTCCACAGACAATCCTCCGTGGTCATGTGGCCTGCGTGACTAGACACGGAATGCCGTTTACCTTCCCACTGCATTTTGCAAGCTTTCGAACCGCTAGGTTGGCGGGAGCTGGGACAAGTGACGGGGGCTCACTTTGTCGCATGGATTCAATCTTATGACTGCAGGTCTTCTGACCTTGCAGCACAGAGGCTTCAGCGGTTTAACCTGCAGCGCCACCACGTCCCTTCTATAAAGTCTATAGGAAGAGCTAAATGCAAAATAGTGGTCTGAGGGTGCTGCTTAAAAGAACATCGGAGGACACACTCAGCCCACAAGTTTGTTCTCAGTGTTAGAGCTGAGTTCATGCTCCACTTAGGCAAAAGGCCCACTCAAGGTAGTAGTTAGACTATGTCCATGTACCATTAAACATACCTGTGATTAAAAAAAAGTTTGACTGGAAGCATTGCAGCTAATTAAAATACAGTTTTGATTCACTGACAGAGAATGCTTTAGGGACATAATTGTGATTCTTTTTTACTGTACAGAGAAACCCAGATCAAAACCAGAGCTGATGTACAAAAAGTAGACCTTACTAATTTTAACTAACTATTTTTAGGTCTGAAGCTGCAATCTTGGAATCTGCTCGTTGCTCTGCTTTTCTTGCACTGCACAGACTTGGTTATTTGAAAACTTACATTCCATTTCTGTCAACTGCATATGAGGTAAGGTGGACTGATTTATCACAGACCATCCTAAACATCTTTTTCTCTTTCAAGTTCTCTCAATTGTTTTGGAGTATCATTTTTAAAAAGGAACGATTTTATGAGTTACAAATATTATTTTGATTCACGTGCGGAGATAGCAGTTCTATGTTTACAAATCTTTTTATTATTATTATTCCTTTTTATATACTTTTCATACTTTATCACACATACCGTTAATTTCTTTTGGAAAAAAAAATACTTCCAGAGGGTTCCTATTCAAAAAGCCATAGTCTAGCTATTCCATTATTTTTCCTTCCTCAGTGGGGTTTTTTCCCCGTAATGAGAAAGAAGATGGAAGCAGCGTTGGGGGGAAAAAAACAGCAGGGCTGCAAATTGAAAGTGTTGTATCTGGATCTTCTTTAAAAAAATTTAAATTAGAAATAGCTGTTGCATGGTAAAAGTTGTATCCACAGAAAGATGTGTAATTATGTTTTATGTGTCCTAAAATAAACTAAAATTATGGTGGTATTTCACAATTACTATTAATCTAGAGAGATTTAAACACTTTAGAAAGTTCAATACAGAATTCCTCATGCTTTTCAACACTTATATGTTTGAGAAGTTATTCTTTTAAAAGTTTGAACTTGACATTTAATTCCTAAGGTAACATGCTGGCTGAAATCCTTTTGCATTTACACAAATGACATAACTTTGGGAAGTGAATAACATAAATCAAGAAGTATGCTCTGTAGGCATCACCTGTTTTATTTTGAATTGCACAAATCAGTAGGCAACAGGTAATGTCCACAGAGGTTTCTTAACTCATGGCAGTTTGGTTACAAAATTACGCCTTTTGTGTAACTGTGCAACAGGATTTTGTGTCCACAAAGGTTTCTTAACTCATGGCAGTTTGGTTCCAAAATTACGCCTTTTGTGTAACTGCAACAGGATTTTAGCTACTGTGTTACATATTGAGCATCAGTGTGGTGCAGCCATTAGAATGATGAACTGGGACTTTGGAAATTCAAGTTATGTCATATATGAGCCACAGATATCTATGGGTGACACTGGGCAGTCTCACCCAGACTGAATTTAAACACTTGTGAAACACTTGTAGACCGTATACACTACTATGTATGTTCTTTCTCTCTTTCTCCATGATAATTCAGCCTTAAATTTATTAAGTGTGTAATACTCAACTGAATTATTTACAAGGACCCCAAGTCAGTGTACGTAATCCTATCCTTTGCTGCTTTGCCAGCCTCCATTTTATCTTCATAGCAACTCTGCAAAGATTTTTTAAGGATAATACATGGTTTCTGATTGGCCCAAAGTGAGCTTCGTGGCTGAGTGGGAGCATATCTTCTGGGTTTGGCTTGAGTTAATTAGTCAGTTGCATGGCCATCAACATGCCCCTGCTCAACCTTAAGTGGTCACTCTTACCCCCAAATGATGAATCTGAAGGAAATGCTATTTGAAAAGAAAAGGAATGTAAATCTCCCCAGTCTTGCTTCAGTGATCTAAGCCAGCCTTTCTCAAACTGGTGCCCTTTAACTGTGTTCCAGTACAGTATGTACCGCTCACATCACTCCAGATGACACATTTAGAGGACACTGTTATGCCGCACTTTCCCTCCAAAGTGCAGTTGACCTTGATTTTTTTTACTTCAAATGTACTTTTTTGCAGGCTGTTCTAAGATGTTTATCATGTAATGAAGTGACTCTCTTTGTACTCAAATGATCAGAAAACTACAGTGGGAAAGGTTCATCCACTCCAAGATTTAGCTGGTGTATTTTATTTTATCATTTTATTTTATTTTAGAGTTTTTACTGTAGGCATCCATGTGGTATACAGATAATACTTCTACTAGGATTCCAAAGCATTGTGGTAGATGTTTAAGTTCTCATGATATATGATAACCTTCTCCAACTCTTTAAGTGGGATGAATAGGTTTTGCAGATGTATATAAATGTGTTTGGCAAGGTACGCTTTTTAAGAGAAGGAAGATATACATGTACTAGGGGCAACAATGCTTCTATCTCACCACCTTCAAATTTCAAGAAACACTATAATATGCACACATTCTACCAGTACTCACCCAACCATTAAATAGAGTAAGGTAGCAAATTTGGGATGCCATGGAATTTATTCATTCGTATTATATTTTTACTACCAGGAAAGTAGAGAGGTGTTTATGAATTTGTTTCCTCTTTTGCCAGAATGACTTGAGTAGCCTAGGATACTGTATAATAGAAGGTGGGATCCAGGAGCAGGTAGCGTTTCCTGTTCTCCTTCAGGCAGAAAAATACCTTGGGCTACCCCTGTGATTTACATTCTTCTTATCCGTGTGATAGGAAAAATGTCTCTGCTGTGAGCATCAGAAGAATGTTAGAGCAGTGCCCCACTGTCAGATATAAGAATTACAAGCCATTTCATAATGAAAACAAGTCTCCATGGTGTTACAACCTCAACAGAAGATGGAGGGAGGAAATGATAGGAAGAAGCCTCCACGGAGCATTATGATTAAAAAAAAACACACACCCTAAACTCGTTGTAATAATTCTGTGTTATGTTTGATAAAAAAAGAGAAAAACTTGCCATAGTAATTCATAAGGTAGACATTCTTGACAAGCCAAGAGCCCAGGAGGCAGTAATGCCCCTTGGAAGAAGTCATATTTGAAGCTTGCATTCAGTAGATTAAGTTAGTTTCCACTTAGGTGTGACAGAGTCATTACCCATTTTAGGCTGAGCTGGTGTGTGAGCTGGCTTCACCACCATCAAGTAAAGACGATGATGTATGGTTCCACATGCTCTTGCCAATTGAGCGTAAAATTGCTCTGCATTTCTGGCGGGGTGACCAAGTTAGGGCTTTTAAAATCTCCATGCCTGAAGCTTAGAGCCCACCGTTTGGAAGCTGCTCATTATTCTTCTCCTGCCCCTGATCTACGGAAAAGAAAGCCTTCTGGAATCAATTAGAAATGTCTGCCTATGATGAGATTTGCACGTGAGTTTGGAATTGTGAAGCTTTGATAGTCTCAGCCAACAGCTGCAAGTTTCAGGTGGTAAAATCAAGGGAAGAATTTTTACAAGGCTTAATTACAGTCAGAACGTGTATTGTTATAACTATTTGAAGGAGACACAAACAAGTCAAGTTGGAAGCTGTCAAGTATATCATTGAAGAGGAGGTCTAAAAGCCTGTTTCATCAGAAGGAAATAAATAAGGCATCTGTTGTTGAGAGGATCTCACATGTGAGACTGCCAAGTGATTTAATAAATGTGGATTGTGTCCTACAAAAGAAAGAGGTGTCAATATTTATGTCAATCTTATTTAACAAGTGAACACAATAAGAGGAGAGGATGTTCTTTTTCAAAAGTGTAGAATAAATACATACACATAAAATAC